AGATTTTTTTTTTTTTTTCTCAGGTGATTTACGATTGTTTATAGTTTTTTTTTAATTTGTAAAGTGTGGTATGATATGATGGACAATCACAAAATGGTTTGCAAGTATAAGATAGAGCTCAAATAATAAAAAAACATAATTTTATTAAATAGTATATAACCATAGAAATTTGTAACATAAAATACTTTTGAGGTGATGTCATTCCTAATCCACAGTCAATAAACAAACCTTTAAACAAAACTCTTCAGAAAGGTAAATAAAGTTTTAAGGTATTTTCTTGTAATCTAATTTTAACATATTTGTTTCCTGTTATTTTTAACATTACATTGTTTCTTCTTTAAAAAAATATTCAGATTGCTGCATGTTCATAATGAAAAGTACATTTTAAACAAATTCAATATCATAGTTGCTCCAATTTAATATTTTGCAGTCTAGCCGTTTATATACTATGCATGTGTAGGCATAACTTTAATCTCAGGTTAAATTTAGTATAAATTTAGCCTAAAGAAACAGTTTTAACTAATCAGTTTGCCATTAAATCTGAACTGAAACTATTTTTAGATAATTCCTTACATAATTAAGTACCGATTGTTATCGTTGTTTCAAGTCATTTTCTATAACTGCGGTTTGCTATTAAATTTGTTTTCTCGTAAATATTTCAAATAATTTAACAAAAACTTAGTTGTTTTTATTATTTTCATGGTGACTAGAAACTAATGCTCTCACTTTTGTTAACTCCAGTTGGTGCATGAAATTAATTGTAATAAAATTTTGATTTTTTTATTATTTTGAATTAAGTTGTTTTTTTTTGTACACCTTTAGTTTTAACTGTACAGATACACTGTTTAGTTAAAACATATGTGTATGGCATTGAAACTGTCAGTTAAACTGTACAGTTCTATTTTGCCAACACACATAAAGCCAGCTACACACCTTAAGTTCATAGCACTTGTTAAAACACATGTGTAGACAAAACTATGAACTGTACAGTTTAACTGACAGTTAATATTTTGCCTACACACTTAAGTTTTAACAATACAGTTTGACTGTTGCGGTAAAAATAAGGTGTGTTGCAGACTCACGTTTTAATTAACCCTTAATCAAACAAGAGTTTTTCGAGATAACTGTACTGTTAGCAGTTGTTAGGTAGTTAGGTTCTGTAGATTAAAAAAAATATAAAGACACTGATTACATATAAAAAAGAAATTTTATGTTAACGTCAAATGGTAAATATTTCCCTAATATTTGACTAAGGGTTAAACAGTCAAACTGTTCAGTTAAAACTGTAGGTGTGTCGCTAGCTTTATTTGAACACATGTACTTACTAAAGTCACCTCGGGTGTTAAATGTTGACCTCTCAATGGAAGCTCCTTTTGTGTAGCTCGATGATAAATCAGGATTAGCTAAACGCGATAACAAAACAACAGGCGTTAACAATATATCCCAACACAATAACTTCAGCTATTCAAAACATGCAATGCAAAATCAGACATATCTGATGCATTCATTATTCCAATTTTCTTACATATATTTTATATTCTAGTTATATGTAAATAGTAGTGAATATTTCAACCTTTATCAAACCTTGAATCTAAAATTTAAATAATCCATTTTTTTTTAATTCTATATTTACTTATATTTGTATTATAGTCACAGTTTTTAGTAATTTCAACATTTAGAGTCCTGATAATATTCAAGTATAAATGTATATTCATTTTATGATAGTGTAATTATAAAAAAAAAAAACAGTATAAGTGAGAGTGAACGAAAATGAGACAGAATGGTGATGTCAGAAGTCACTAAGTTTATTTATTATTATTTGACAGATGAGAGAGATATTTATCTTAACTTTTGCCCTCAGCCTTCCGAGCTGATTTAAAGTAACTTGCCTATTTATTTTTCCAGACTATATTTATATGTATGCTACACTACTATATACTATGTTTATATCAGTGCCAAATTCCATTGAGATCTGTTAAGCCATTGTAGAACAGCCATCTAAACTTTTGCATAATGTTAGTATGATTTAGAATTTTATATTGTTTAAATATACAAACCCCTGAGCAATGTAGGATCAGTGGATGAATTTTCAAGCATACTGTATTTATTCTTAGTGATGCCAATCATAGAGTTGCTGTTTGCTTGTACAGTATTCTTTGTACCGGAGCCATGAGTCCATCCGGAGTGCTGGGGCGCCAGTTTGATGTTACTGAGGTTCTGAAATATTCAAATTCATTAATACTAGCAAATCAATTCTTATATAATAATGTCATACGAATTATAAATAAATGAATTATCAATCAGTAGGTTTTTCTAAAACATAATTATTCAGATGAAATATAAATCAAACTACTTGTTTGCTACTTTGTCCCCGTGAAATTTAAAAAATGATGACAATGTACATTTCTAATAATGTAGCTTTTAATGGTGAATAGTTATATCGTTCCAGTAGTTGTTGAGTTTTTTTTATATATACAAAAATACAAATCTTCCCTCTTTCTACTTTGATGAAGTTCTATTTAGTTACACTAAAAAAGAATTTTCTATTTTGCTTTATTACCAATTTAATAAAAAACTGTTTTATTTCTATCCAGTTTCCTACCTTTTGTGTGCCAGCTTTAAGTTTGGACATATCAACGGTACTGATACGTGGGGATTTCCAGTTATTGTCCATGAACGAGTTATTATTCTGACGTCGTCCCTCACCGCCGCGCTTGCCGCGACCGCCGTCCTCGCGGCGACCGTACCCGCCGCCCATCGGAATAGAGTTCATCAACTATAATACATAAAAAACGTTAATAATAAAATTGTATTAAAATACAAATAAAGTGTGAAAGTGAAATATTTTAGTTTTATATAAATATTTAATCAAATAATTGCAAGGAAATATCACATAAATATACTAGTTTATAACAAAAACTAGTAATTTATTAAGCCTGCTAGAATATAAGATTTTTAATTGCGGAAAAAAAGTACTAAAAATGGCATATTCAGTGATAATTTAGCTTTTTAATGGTAAAGGAATTTTTAAAATGCTGGACCCATTGTAGTTTTATAATTCATTCATTACAATTTATCCTTAGAAGACATTGGGGAACCTATCCAATAGTGGGCTAATGATGTTAAAAAAAAATATAGACTGTAGACTGTAGACTGTTTTATTGTGCATATTTTGTTTTACCTCAATATGTCTCTGTTGTTGGTCTGCCTCCTTCTGAATCTGGTCCATCATCTTAGGCTGGGAGTCAACAACGCTCTTCACCACCCAGCGTCGTTGGCGCAGTTCGATCACATCCTTGATCATGAATCTCACTCTACTGCTTATCTTATTCGATTTCTTGTCTACAATCTCTTGCATTTGCTTGAACACAAGCTCCAATTGCTCTTTCACTTCATTTTCCACCTGTTTGATAAAACATTTTAGTAATTTCACAGTAAGATATGTAATTTATTCCAACTATGAAGTATGAAATTAATTTATTATTTTTGTTATGTACCTGTTCTCCGATAGTGGTTAGCAATTTGCAAAGACATTCAAGTTTTTCCTCTTCTAACTTGTCTACGAGATAATTCATACAGTAAACCATGATCTTGGCGGTCAACATTTTCAATTTGTACAGCTCACCTGAAAACAACGATACATTGTAAAATACCTTGAAATTGACGTTTCATAATATTAATGTTAAAACAATGAAATTTATAGAAATAACAATAGAACAAATAAATTGCCTATAAAAACATAAAAATATCGCATTCTTGCGTGCGCACATGAGTTTTAAAGCAAATAATCTCTTTAAATGAGATTCATAGAAGCTACAGCTATATTAATTTTCTCCAAAAAGATATCGCGAGACAATCCAGTTCGCAAAACAAAGAATGCAAATACGAAATTTCAACCATTCAAGGTAGTTCGTGCGTCGCTTTTAGTCCTAGAACATACTAAGGACCTGTCTCACCACTGGGATATAGTCCTATTTGGTTAAATAATGTATGTGATGACAACAGTCAATGCAGAGTAATTCTAGTCATTTGAAAAAAGGAGTTACAGCAATGAAAGCCCACATAATGAACAATAGCGTGGCAATGCATAGAACATATTCGCTAAAGCTTGTTTGCATAAACATAGAATGAAGTTACTAATTGTAAGAGACAAAGTATTAGGACCTTTTAATTGTATTTATTATTAGCGGTCGATCGCAATGTCGACATGGATTTAAAAAAAAAGATCGTCCATAAATTAGGACCAGCCTTTTCATAGGTTATCCGGAACCAAAGCGATTTGCGGACGCACAGAGACAGATAGACAGACAGACAAAAATGTCTTAAACCTGATTTTGGTTATCAGCCACGCAAAAATATTACGTTCGCGAAATTTCGATATTACATAGATATTCCAACTTTATTAATTATATATAGATTCGCAATTGCTACTAAGCTCATTACACATAAAATTAATAATGACCATACATAATACCTCTTATCTATCAAATCATGATGATGTCTAAATACAAAATATATCAAATCAGCGTTTGCTCGTGATTACATTCGCGTGAAATAAGGAAAAAAATCTAGTAATAAATACATGCCTATTGCTACCAGTGATAACATAGCTTTCTAATTGTAAATGATTTTTTTATTCAGTACAGTAGGATTCGAGTTACAAATTTACATATTTCTTTTTTAAAATACTAATGCATATAATCAACAACTAGCTACATAAAAATAATAACAACAAACTAATGAAAAAGACAACAATGAATAAATTTGTGATACAATAAGTTAACTTACCAATAAATCTGACATTTCCGACAGATCTCATTCTTAGCTTTCGATTTTCTTCTTCCAACTGAACTTGAAGTTCCTTCTTTTTGACCTGGAATAATTGTGAAAAAATTTAAATTAAAACCGATTATAACACTTTGTTTTTAAAGAACATAAATTACGGTCAATAAAGAAAACTCAATTTCATCTAATCTTTTATTTAATTATCATGCTTTATAGCTCACTTTTTAAACAAGGTTTAATGTGTTGTGATGAAATTTGGCATAGATGTAGAATACACTCTGAAAGAACACATAGGCTATCTACTTTTTTTTTCCACGCGGACAGAGTCGCGGGCGAAAGATAATTATTAATAACAGTGGGTACTTACAGGGTCAGAGCATTCGTTCATTTCCTTCTCCAATTTCAATACATTCTCATCAACTTTAGCTGTTACAAATTGATTCTGACATTTGCTGATGATGAGAAGTCGGAAGTTAACATATTTGTCAGGGGAACCGTTATCGGCGGGTACCTGTGTAACAATCAATATTGTTTTCAAATATTACCATAAATATTTAGCGTAACAAATACTTTTCTACTGTAACTTATGACACATTGTTATTGAAACATTAATATACATAAGCTTGTAAATAGCGGACCATTTAATAATATAGAAAGTTGGTACATATTTATGGTGAAAATAACCATTTTTAAGGCAATATCTACTTTTATTTAAGTAAACAGTACCTAACTATTATCAAACAGTACATGATTCATTTGTACATTTATAATTAAAATTTAATGTGAACATTTTACATGTAATTACCTTAATTGATGCAAGTTTATTGCACATATTAGCATAGGCCTCTGAAAAGTTAGGTTCATCAATCGCCTTCTCAAACACCAAATCAATAACACCTTCTAAACGGCCTTGAGTGTTTATTTCCAATGTCTTTACTTTCTCCATTAGAGTGTCAAACTTCTGCGGCGTAAGTTTGTTCAGAATACCTCTGAATTTCTTATACAACTCCTACAACAAAAAGTGAATCATAAGGTTCATTTTGAATGATAATTATATACTATGGTTATGTGATAGAATTGAATATTAACCTACAAATGACAAAGGGGAACCATTTGTCCCCGACCATCTCAGTCACAATAAGGAATACATTTATTTACAGAATAAATCTTTACATAATGTTTCACAACACAAATAAAATAAATTTATTCTATTAATTCACTTTTATAATGTAAATGGCAAGGGTGATGTAATTTTTTTTTCCGTACAAAATCATTTCACTCTCTTACACTTACTTAACATTTTAATTCTGAAAATTGACTTTGCTCTTAACTTACCTGTGTTTTAAATTCTTCCTCGCTAAGACTAGCAGCCTTCAATCTGGTCGGTTTCCAGGCATCGTTAGACTGGTTAAGCTTTACATCCTCCCGAGTCAGTGACACACGAATCACAGCTTTATGATGAGTGCTACCACTGGGCGAAACATTTAGCTTCATACTGCCCCGACCTGAATCACAACATTTTATTTTAAACTACCTGTTGCTCTCATCCATAATTAAAAAAATATAACCTATGTTACTCACAGATAAATTACTTTTCAAACGGTGAGAGATTTTTAAAATTGGCAAAGTAGGTTTTGAGTTTGAGTATGTACTCATATACAAAATTACACATCTTTCCTCTTTAATTTTACAATCACATTTTAAAAAAAAACCCAAGTTATATTTACCACCAGTGCTCAAATTCCTGCCATCTTTCTTGGGATCCCTAGGTGTGTTACTCCTTGAACCAATACTGGAATTCTTCGCAAAGTTTGGGAATAAGGAATCGTTAATAGGCCTGGATATTGGGTTGAAGGGCTGTGGCTCTTGATGTGGCTAAGAAAACAAATTAATAATTAAATTTACTTTATTGTGGAATATAAAAAATAGCTTAACAATTATAATATTTACCTTTATAATATTGCACACCTCCAACATGGGAACATTTGGCTTTGTCTTTGAGAGGGGATCATCTTTTATTTGCATTAATAATCCAATGTCATAGTACTTCTTGCCAGACTGGTTCAATGGCGACCATTGATCTAAAAAAAATATTAAATCCCATGAATTAGTTATTAAAAAATAGAATTTTGTCTTGCAAAATTTGTGTTTGAAACAGTTTATATAGCCATGTTGCAAATGTATCTAGTCTTTTTACCTACCATTATCATATTTGTATTTAAGTTTGGGAGCAGAAGGTGTTGATTTTTCATCATCATCAGCTACTGATGTCTTTGATTCATCATCAGACATCGGAGTATCTTGTTTCTGTTCCATATTCACTTTGTCTGAATCACTTTCAACATTATCGTTGGCATCATTTTCATTTGAAGATTCAATATTTATGTTATTAGAAGATTTCTTATCATTCTTAGGGTTATTTGTGACCTCATCATTTTTGTATATCTCTTCTTTAACTTCCTTTTTCAATGTAACATCATTGTCATTGGCATCTGCTGATGGCGCGGCATCTGACGCAAATAAATGTATGCATTATTAAAAATTTATTTATTTTCAAGGAAGACCAACAGCTATTAATTACAAAGTAGGCATGGTAATAATAATAGGTCCTCACAAATAGAAATATTATACTAAAATATTTATGCAAATTAACAATAGTAAAACTGAAAAATTACAAGGAAACTGTGATAAGTCTATAATTACATATTAAAAAAGCCAAAAGTTCTAATAACCTAATTGATTAAACAAGAATTTTAACTAGCACACACATGTTTAATGTATATTTTATACATTAGTAATAAAAATATAAATTTTGACCCTATTGCAAGTTAACTAATAATTAAAATAAAGTAAAGTACCTGCCACCTCATTATTGAGATTAATATCCTTCATTTTTTGTTCGATGCTATCACTAGTAGGACTTTCTAAGCTTTGTGAAAGCTTCAACTGAGCTTTATTTGAGCTGGATGCTTCTTTATTCTTGCTTGGTTTAATGTTGGAATTATCTTTAGCTGACTTTTCAATGTCAGTGTTATGTTCTGTTGCAATTGCTGAAGACTCTGGTAATGTTGGCAGTTTATTTGATGGTTCAGTTACATGGGTATCTTTGCGGGTTGCAGCAGTTACTTTCGCTACTTTCGTTTCCGTTTTATGTAGTTGACTTTCATGTTCTACTTCAGGTATGGGCTCTGCAAACACTGGAACAAAGAAACATGAAGGTGTTAATTTCTTAATTACTGGTCCATTTTTATACTAGGATTAAGTTAATAAAAATACATTAAATTAGTTGTACATTTCATGAGATCATTTTATTTAATTTTATTCATATATAATTTACATTAATTAATTTAAGACTAACAGTCAATTCATTGTTATTGAGTTATATTATATTATAGTCATATTTAAGTATCCTACAGTAGAAATAAGAATATAACCTCTGCTTATTTTCCAGATTTTAGTCAAGTCACTATAAATTAAAGTTTATTTATATGATTACAACACTATTTTTCTTTAAAAACTTTAAAATAAACGAATACTAGGCAATAAGTTTCTAGAAATGTGAATAAAAATACCACATGACAATTTTAGCAACAGATGTCTAAACTTAATTATTTCAAGTTCTCATAATTTACGTTTTACAACTTAAAGAAGTCAAAAATCTGTTCACACCAAGTTAACATAACCTCCATTTGGAGTTTGTTGAATAAAACGTGACATTACTTTAATTACTTCATACAAAAATCACATCCGTACACGCAGATAAAAGGAAAGTTGATACCACAAACATTTTTACACCCTTCAAAATTATATAACCTAAGCACTCGTATATTTTGACCTAAATGACGATTATATTAAATGAATATAAACGCACATTACAGAATACAATTTTATTATAATTCTCTAGCTGGCCCGTGGCTTTTTCTCAAGCAAGTTTCAATTCTATAAATAGAAAAGTGAGGTATTCCCACGTGGGAGTTACGTCCAATACTGCACGTACCTGATTTTAAAACATACGGCACCCATTCCTAATACACTTTTATACCACAGTCTTCAAATATTTAATATTCAATATAACTTTCAACACAAGATTCGTTCACGTATCAATATGGTAAGACATTAGGTACATTTAAAAGGTCACTCAAGGATTTTGATTTTTAGCACTCTTTTTAACAGTATCACTTTACTTATTTACTAAATTAAATAATCTATTTACATTATAATAATAAGTAAATTAAATAAAAATGACAAAATTTAAAAATCAATGATAAAATTCAAAATCATTGTTTAAATAATAAAAGCTAGGCAGCCACGCGCAAGACTTCTAAAGTCAAATCCGCCATGTTGGATCATTCCATGCGGTGGACAACCTGCGAGTAGTGATGTGCGCAAAAACGAAAATAATCGATACTGTCTATGAACGATTATTCGGATCGTCACATTGTCATTTAATATTTTTCTTACTGTTAATAAAAAAAGTATTAGTGTGTATGAATGTAATTTTCTATTTGTAATGAAAAGCATACATGTTAGCAATTTGTGAATAATATGAAATATTATATGTTATCCAATATCATTTCCGAACAAGGTTTATTTGAACAGAATTCTAATAGAAACATTGAAAAAAGAATAATAATTACAGTATACTATATTAACTATTTTTTATATAATATTGTTGTCATTAACTATTAACAAATTCATTGTATAACATGTATATTATACTAGCTATCGCCCGCGAATCCGTCTGCACGGAATTAATAATAAAATAAAAAGTAGCTCATGTGTTCTTCCATACTTTGCCTCTACATCTATGCCAAATTTAATCAAGATCTGTTCAGCAGTTACACCACAAACTCTATCAAACATCAATCCATCCATCAAACTAAAATTTCGCATTCATTATATAAGTATGATAAACCTATAAACCTTTCCTACCCTATTTCCCGATGACGCAAATTTGATAAAATCGGTAAACAAATAATACGCAACTGCTATTATTATTCCATATGTTTTGCTTTATTCGATTCCTTCCAGTCCGTATCATATAAGTATAGATAATATCGATAGACCATAAAAATACATGCAAATATTGTGGCCCTGAAACAGAAACACCACTTATTTGCAAGTTAAAAATGTGAACACGTCAATACGAATTTATACCTTTCATACTGGTCGCACATATTGTCATAATGTATTAGAGTCTGAACGAGCAACATGGAGCCATGAATAAATTACCTTATTAATACATATTTACGTCAGAATGGAAGCTCGTTCTAGTTAAGAAATTAGCATAATATAAATTTCCAGATGAAAACTCTATCGATATTAATTTTATATGTTACATACTAATCGACTTTTAAAATATTATAATCGATTAAAATTACAAACACACTACACAGCACTTTCGATTGACATTTCTATAGTTACGATATATCTAATCTTGTCATTGAGTTGGGCCTATCAAAATTTTACAATCTCTTTTAATCTTGCACCATATTTTCCCCGTTAATTTGCATTAACATTCCTCACATTCCGCACTTATATCTTGTTTTTACAATTTAACAAATCCTGGTGATTATTTCAATGTTTTAAAACTCATTTGTATTTATTAAAGGATAGCAGAGAACTCATAAATCTATTTTTTTTGATGGTGCATATACTGTGCATTAACTATTGTTATTATTATATTGGCATCCTGCTCATGATCATAATAAATACAGTAACAGCAATAATACTAGATACACTATTGATGTCGACAGTACCTATAACTGTTGCATACTAACATTCAAGTCAGATAAGCATGGTTAAGAACCTATCAAGAAGTTACCTTTGTAATAATACTGTAAATTATTAAAATGATATTCAAACTGATCCTGTGGTCCCCATGTCTATGTTATATTGTAACACGCAATTATTGATTTACAAAAAAACTGTTTCTATCTATTTCTGGACTATAAACTAATTACACTTAAGTCTTCAAAATGTGGCATCTTTATTTACTATGTTGGTAAGTAGAAAAGTCTTGTTGATTGTTGATGGCTTGTCTAGATGTTTGTACATCTTTGGATTACAACGTTGTCAAAGGGGAAATAAAAATGTGAGTAACATTGGACAATAACATTTCCTAATAATAAATTTTTTGAGTTTGTTTATTACATACATTATAATATTAAACTTTAGATAAAGAAATAAATAACATCAACTCGCTTCTGTTAAATATTAAACTAATGTTAAGAAACCAAAGTATATATTAAATGTTAGAAAAAAGATATTATTCAATACAATAAGTATAATTTGATATTCATTATTCCACAAACAACACATTTATTTTATCATTAACAACTTAAACAAGATATTTGTAAGGTTGAAATTTGCTTGAAATTGTTATAGTTCTTTTTTGTCCGCTGCTGTCTTGGTGTATAGGCGCTCCGAACACATTGTAATCTGGAATTCTTGTCTTCTCAACGGTGTTTGTATAGGTTGGCACTGGATTCTTCTCATTATAACTTTAAGCTACTGGTTGGTTGATAATACAATCTATCTAAAAGCATATAACGCTGCAAGCATCAGTTGGCTGATCCAAAAGTAAATGAATGTGTCCCGGTAGTGCTTCCTTTTATATCTTAATTTAATATTTCACAATCATCATTCTAAATAAATTCATATTAAAAGAGGAAATTGCTTTGTGCTATAAAATAAAAGCTGTTCCTCAATGTAAGATACCAACTATCGAAATTCGATCAATATCACGAAAGAAAATACCACGCCTTTTTTAGATGCATAAAATTACTGTCTGAAAATTAGTCACAATATTTAAGTTGTTCTATTTATATCACAAAATCCTACTTAGTGTAACAATCAGGGAAATTAAACGAATCGATTGATACCACACCCAACAAATTGGTTGTCATTTCCCATAACGAATTTTATGAAAAACCTACGAATGCGCGAAAACCATTACCCTTCCGAGTGGGCCAGGTAAAAAAACGTAATATCAAAAAGACGATCATTACTTCGGAGAGCCCTTATCTGATAATGAAGCAATGATTCCAGGCGTCGTAATCCATTGCAGCGTCTTGCCATCTTGAAGCTTAAGCAAATGTTCTACCACAAATTATGCACATACACTTAGATATTTCACTTTACCGGGAGCAAAAACACGTCTCTGCAAACGCACGTCCGTCTGCAGATTAACGTTTGGTACAAGATCGCGCAAACAGTACGGGGGGACGCAAATTTACCCCGCCGTTGCATTGATTAACTAACTATTCATAACGCCTACATAAATTTCTCCTTCATTGCGTCCTTCAAGATAGAGGCATTGGGATGACGTATTAATGTTCTATAAATATCTTAAAATCAATAAAACTTCGCTAACTCTATCTCAGGTGGATCTTTATAAAGGGAACTATACTATTCTGTAAAGTTTACGAATAAATACATAAAGCAGTGTATATCATATACATACATATATACGAATATTTGAAATTTAAAAAAGAAGCTCAAATTTGAGCAAAAAAAAAAATACCACGCGGTTAATTATACAGTGAGAAAACTATAAAATGATAGATAAATGCACTTACCTAGTGACATGGGTCCGTTAGGCTTCGTTAGCGTCTCTTTCTCTTGAAGGTGTTCCTTTGGCCGTGTGTCCTCTACTGTTTTGACGCGATCCCTTTGGTCGCGTAACATCTGTGATAGAGGGTTGATCGCAGCACTGCTTTGTGTCTGCGGTGGTTCAACGACAACGTAAGGAGTGGGGGCGGGAGTTTGGAAGGTGGGGAGTGCGTAGG